ATGGATATGTGCATTTGAATGTATTTACTTATTTGAATTGTATGCTTTTATCATGTACAACATGATGTTTTGAAGTGTATATACACTGCAAAATAGTTAAATCTAGATAATTAACAAACACATTACCTTTTATAGTTATCATTATTGTGGTAAGAGTAAATAATATCCACTCTCTTGATGCATACAATGTATCATCATTAACTATAGCCACCTTGCTGTACAATAGCTCTCTTGAAATTTATTCCTTCTGTCTAACTATAATTACTTATCTTTTGACCAACATCTCTCCATGCCCCTCAACCACCCTAGCCTCTGGTAACCACCATGTTGTTTTCTACTTTTATGTAACCAACTTTTTAAGATTCCATATATGAATGAGATTATGCAGAGTATGTGCATTTTAATTTTGATGAATCTGGAAAAATGATACCCTATTTCTCCAAATCTTACCAGTTAACATTAATAACAATAGTATATGAAAGTGCTTGTTTTCCCAAACATTATCAAACATTTTGGAGTTTTTTTGTTTTTCTTTTTCCATTTCTTATTCATTTATTTATTTTATTTCAGAATATTACAGTGATACAAATGCTTTGGTCACATAAATTGCCTTTGTACTGCCTGGGTCAAAGCTACAAGTGTGCCCATCCCCCACAGTGTGCACTGTACCCATTAGGCATGAATTTACCCAATCCTCTCCTCCCCACTCACCTGCCCAATCCCCAATGACGGTTACTTCCATATGTGCACGTAGTGTTGACCGATTAGTACTAATTTAATGATGAGTACATGTGGTATTTGTTTTTCCATTTTTGTGATACTTCACTTAGAAGAATTGGCTCTAGCTCCATCCAGGATAATACAAGAGATATTGGTTCACCATTTTTTTCCGTAGCTGAGTAGTGCTCCGTGGTATACATATACCACATTTTATTAATCCACTCATGTGTTGTTGTTTCCACATCTTTGCAATTGTGACTTGTGCTGCTGTAAACATTTGAGTGCAGATGTAAATAGAATGTCTTTTTTTCCTTTGGATAAATGCCCAGTAGTGGGATTGCTGGATCAAATGGTAGCTCTGCTTTTAGTTCTTCGAGGTGTCTCCATACTACTTTCCATAGAAGTTGTACTAATTTGCAGTCCCACAAGCAGTGGATGAGTGTTCCTATCTCTCCACATCCACGCCAATATTTGTTGTTTGGAACTTTTTGATAAAAGCCATTCTCACTGGAGTTAAGTGATATCTCACTGGATTTAAGTGATATCTCACTGTGGCTTTGATTTGCATTTGCCTGATGATTAGAGATGTTGAGCATTTTTCATGTTTGTCGGCCTTAGTCTGTCTCT